CAGTCTGAGCTCTACAAAAACACTCTTGTTCTCAAGTGGCTCGTGAGCACTATGACTAGGTAGTCCAGGGCACAGGCTGAAAAAGGCAGAATAGCGTTGGGTTATGGTGGGTTCAGGATTTACTCTGTATGTGACCGGATGCTGCATAAGAATATTCAGAGGATAGAAATTATATAAAGGCCCATAAAGTCTCTATTATGGAAGCCAAAGTACATTGTTGATTATAGATGGAGCCAAGACAGGAAGGCATGATGGTAAATTAGAAACATATAACCTCTAATTAGGTAAAACACAAATTAGGGCATGGCAGCGATATGAAAATAATGGATTAGACCCATATTTAAGAATATGTATTACTCCAAAATGAATAATGGAATAGTTTGAACACGGAACAAGAAAACTAATTTATTTCATTAATTATAATTTACAAAATGAAATCAGTAATTCAGCACACTGTGAAAATTATCAGGGAATTGTAGCAGGTATACACGTAGTTCCCATACTATCACTACTGTGTAAAAACTCTAAATGATCTCTTCGTGGAATTCCTACCATGTATATGTATGTATGTGCACCTGAGTGAATGTGCACACGTGTTTTGTAGTGAAAATGACTGCTGCATAGCAGCCAATGAAGGAAATCTCCAGAGACCTTGTATTCATTGCACAATAAAAAGTACAGATAAAATGTGGTGTTGACATAAATATTTTATAATTGGGAAACTCTTTCATGGTAGCATCTGGGCAGTTTAACTGAGTATTTTATAGCTATGATATATCGAGTTTCCTCTGAGGGCACTGGACAGAGATTTACAAACTGCAACAGAACTCTAGGACTCTGAAGCATAACATAGCTTACCTGGAGAAGGATAAATGAGAAGGCATATTAGTTGCTGCTGGTTTCATCTAACAGACCAATTAGCTATTGCTGATAACGTAGATTTTTTGTCATGATTTGGTTTCTGTTTGTTTCCATTTTGCAACATCCCATGTTACTCTTCTGCAGTTTGCAATCCTCACTTTTTATCCTCTCAGGGCTCAGTTATTGTAGAAGAAAGGTATTCCAATCCTGTCTATAAAATGAATCTTTCTTTGAAATAACTGCATTCTTTCTGAAGTACAGAAGGCACATAACAATATAGTCCTGATTTTCAACCTTACTAAAGGTATAGCTGGCAAGTTCTGTTCTGGTTCTTATCAATATGCTGAACAGCCAAATGTTTCGCTCCGTGCTACCCAGTCAACCCTCAATGTGATTATCTGAGGTTTTATGGCAGTTTCAGCTTGGAATGAAACTTCCTTTACACCTGTAGAAGAATCAAACAGAAAAGTAGCTTGAGATTTTGTTCTTGACATCTCCTCTAACAGTTCTTTAGGACAATCAGAACAGGTGTCAGATTCTCAAACAAGAGGCAAGCTGAAGAAACGTGGTGGAGATTGTGTGGGTGATTCTTCAACTTCCGTTTGTCCTCTATATCATATATTTTTAGCTCTCCAACTCAAATCCTCTTGCATCATCTTCTATGTCAGTCATGACCAGAGTTAATCATTCTGAGAAAGTTTTCACCCACTCCACTCTGACATCATGTTGTCTTGAGTATGGACCATGTGGTTTCTGTCCTTTGGCACCTTTGGAGCCTCTACTAGCATCAATTGTCCCATTTGCCAACGCTGCACTTACTTACATAATAATATTATCAGCTACATAATATCAAGATTAGGCTAAGAGACCCATTAAGGGTCTCTTAAGGGCTTGTACAGGCATCAGTTAACTCAGCAGGTGCGTGTTGCTCAAATCGTGCACATTTGAATAAAAAGACCTGTCTTCAGGCTGACTTCCAGGAGGTAACCCCTGAGCTCTCAAAATTTTCTGTCTAATAATAGTCTATCTGTATGCCTATGGCTTTGGGCCACACTATACCAGTGTGACCAGATATGTTTATCCTAATAATGTGATTTATGGCTGATGCCTGTTTTTGTTCTTAGATGCTGTGATATGAGTAGCTGATGTCAGTTACAGGGTTGCTAACTGTTTACACAATTAATCCTGAATGAAAATCCTGGACACCAAGACTCAGTTGAGCTTCTCTCATTGGTAACACTTTCGACTTGTTGTCAGACGTCATTTCTTGGAAAATTAATCATGTCTTTTACAATCTCATTGGGCAATAGACATTGGGTTCTCTTGGATTTCTCCTTTCCCCTTTGCTGATTTGAATCTGTAACCTTCAAATGTCATCAACTCAGATTGTGACATAACTTTCTGATTCCTGTGAGTCATTCTAGTGAATCATAAAGTCTGAGGGTGGTTGTAGGGACCTCAAAACCAGAGATATAACCTAAGGACAACTACTAGCTAGCAATACCTGCTCACAGGTGCCACTGGTTCTACCACATATTATCTCACCTGAAGCATTCAGTCTCATAGAACAATGGTAAAATATTAAAGACTTAGTTAATGTTTCAGTCTGGGAGCAACACACCAAGGATTGATGGCAGGCATTGTATTTCAAGAAGTGGAATATGTGCTGATGTAAGAGAAACATCCTTTAAAACTACAATACTTGAAATATAGAAATTTAAGGATGGAAAGTGGAGTTGCCATTGTAAATGCTTATGCTTTACATGTGTAATCATACATTTCATATTTAGGGTCTCCTGGACAATATATTCCTTTTTCTAACTGATATAATATTTCCACCAAATTCACAGAGAGAAATCTCAGTGACATTTCCATTGAGTTTCAGCTATGACTACTGTACTACGTAATCATTCTAGCTTCTCAAAATGTCAGATTATCAGGCTAAGATAGGAAAAAAATATGATTGTAGGAGTAGTTGATCAACATGACCATCAGGGACTTGTTAAATAATGAGGGTTCTCTAGTGATGACCAAAATAGACAATTACAGTAACCAGTGCCTTACAAGAGCAAGACACCAGGTCTTTGGTCTTTTTCTCAGGAAAGATCTGGGTCATCCCACCAGGAAAGCAAACTAGACCAACTGAAATGTTGATTCATAGGTGGGTGTTGAACAACAAGAACATGTGGACTCAGGGAGAGGAGCATCACATACAGAGGACAGTTGTGGAGGGTAGAAGAGAGACAATGGGGGGTGAGGAGGGAGGGGCGGGTGGGAAGGGATACCATGGGAAGAAATGCCAGATATAGTATGCACCTAAAGTAAAATAAATAAATTTTAAAAATAAATAAATAAATAAAAAGATAAAGGCAACTAGAATGAGTGGTGGAGGAGGTGATAATGGTAATTATCAGTTACAACAAAGGAGATTGTAGCTTATATATTTTAATGGTAGTTATTGTTCTAAAGAGACTGCAGTTATCCAGTATCAGAAGTTTAATCGATAGAGTAATGTACTTAAGATTATGTGAGGATCTCAACAATGCAGGAGGTAGACTAGGACGGACAACTCTGCTGCTTCCGTTTCATCCTCTCGGTCTTGGCAGTCTTGGCTGGAATAGAACTTCCAGGAAGCCCTAAACTGGCTTCCTGCTAAGCGTCATGCCTCAAACATGCACAATACATCTTTACTTTCTTACTCCATGCTACTCAGGACATACTGTTCCCACGGGGAAAATGAGATCACTGGACAAAATAAGGGCCGATTCCTCTAAAACAGAATTCACTGACAAGAGGATATAACTGGAGTTTAGATTTTCCAGTGAACATTATGAAGTAAATAAGAAACAAAGCAGTGACAGGTGTAGGCAAGGGAATGATAGACTAGAACTCAGAGCAAAACTTATTAATCATAATTTAACTAAGGCATGAGAGGGATGAGGAGCAGTGAGAAGGTAGGCTACCTACCAATTAGTGTTTCCCCTCTTCCTCTTCATCCGCTTCATTTTTTTCTCCTTCTCTTTCTCCTTCCTTTTCTCTTTCTTTCCTTCCCAATTTCTCCTCCTCCTCCTTTGTCCCCTCCTTTTCCTCTTCTTTCTCCTCCTTCTCTCTATAACTCTTTTCTTACCCTCCCTTTTTTCCCCCTTTGGAAACAAAACACATAAGAACCATGTTTGCTGCAGATTCTCCATTTTTAGACAATAATTATTTATTAAAATACTCCAAATACTCATTTGACATCATTAAGAAATGATTAAGTTTCCTGCGTGAGGCTGTCAGTTTAGAAAGTTTTGCCTAGGGATTTGATGTGGCATTGGATGCCATCTTAAATGCTTCCTTCTGACACTAATTATTTTATAAATCATACTGCTAAAGTAATTTGTAATTCATATTTCCTATGCACACAACTAAATTCGTCTGCTTGAGCTGCCATAAAAAGTACTACAGACTGGGGGATTTAAGCAACAGAAATGTATTTTCCCACGGTTCTACAGGCTTAAAGCCCAAGATCAAAGTGCTGTCAGGGTTTGTTCTTGTGAGGGCTCTCGTCATGGCTTGCAGATTGCCACCTTCTTTATGTGCCCTCAGTTGGCCTTTTCATTGCGTGCAAGAGAGAGAGAGAAAGAGAAAGAGAACTCTCCGAAGTTTCTTCCTTTTCTTGTATTGACACCAATCCTATCACGTTAGGGTCCCACCCTCATGACCTCTTCCCTGTCTCCAAATACCATGTAAAAAGTTATCTTATGTCTCCTATCTGTCCCACATGAGATGAAGGAGTTCCAAGAGAGTGGGAAATTCATCTATGTTATTGGCCATTCCATCCACAGCACTTGGCATTGTGTAGTACATGGAAGTTGACAAATATATATTTATTACATGAGTAGATGAGTGAATGTATGAACAAACACATTAATAAGACTACAGACTTTACTTGTGAACTCTAGGAAGTTTCCATAAGGAAATATGAAATATCTCAACATAAATGTGAACTTTTGAGTCATGATTTCCTGTCCTGTATCATTAGGCAAGTCTTAAATAAAAATTGAAGGACTTATTACAACTACAGAAAATAAGGCAGCAATTCATCATGTTTTTTTGCTTTCAAAAATTAATGTATAAAACATTCTGATACACCATAGAGTTTATATTGTCACTAGGCAAAAATTCAGAATGGCAGAGGGCCATAACATTACTTAATACTGAAGAAAATAGAGGAATGGTTCTCAGATTTTTTTCTACAAAGCTCTGTTACTTAAGTAAGGAACACAGAAATATTTCTCCAGGATTGACTAATACTTCTCAATAATATTTATGCAAATAATGCATATTTCAAAAAATATTGATTGTTAATATGGTTAGGGGTTGTATCCCCACCCAAATCTCATCTTAAATTATAATACATAATCTCCACATGTCAAGGGAGAGACTATGTGGAGGTAATTGGATCATGAGGGCAGTTTCCCTCACGCTATTCTCGTAATAGTGAGTGAGTTCTGAGGAGATCTGATGGTTTTGTAAGTGATTGGTAGCCTCTCCTGCATTCATTCTCCTTCCTCCTGCTTTCTGAAGAAGATGGCTTGCTTCCTCTTCACCTTCCGCCATAATTGTAAGTTTCCTGAGGCCTTCCTGGCCATGCTGAACTGTGAGTCAATTAAATCTCTTTCCTTTATAAATTACCCAGTCTTAGTCAGTTCTTTACAGCAGTGTGAAAATGAACAATACAATTGTTATTGTTCTTAATGGTTTATATTGGTTACTTTATTAAAGTCAATGCTTCCATTTTCTCAATTTTTATCAAAAAACCAGACTTACAGAATTATTAAATAGTACACCCAAACTCACACGTATACTAAGGGATAACACTGAGACTACAACCAAAGAATTCCAGCACCAAAACCAGGCCTATCAAATATAATACTCATCCTTATAGCAAACCCAAAATTATCATTTATTATGTCTTTATTTTGAGATAAGACATAAAAGGTATTTGTGTGTATATATACATAAACAATGCTTGTTAGTGGCTTAACTTGATAGAGAACTGATATATTTTTAATTGCTTGTATAAAATATGTTTTAATATTACTGACATTGTTTCCAAGGCCAATATATTATTATTATTTTTTAAATATCCAATTCACTTACAAGCCACAGGGTAAATAAAAAAGCAAACAAATACATAGCAGTGTGTAAAATCTAAGGTTTAAATGTACCATGATACATGACCCAAAGCCATAACTTGGAAGGCATTTTCAAATTAGATTCAGTTTCTTTCCTTAAGTACCTTTTCTTGTTCTACCAGATGTAATATCAGTATTATTTTAGTACTTTGTAATTGTTTATAAACATTTATCTTATGATGGAAAATTTATATAGAGATCAGCTCTGACGCATTGTTAATCTACCAGTCTAAAATTGCTTTGTAAAACTTGGTGATTTGTTCATTAGTTAAATAACACTTTTAGAGCTTTGCAAAGATTTATTGACTTTTGCTGCTAGAGATATTCATGCAAATAACCTTCAGAAATACCTATTTGTAAACATTTTAATCAAAAGATCTATTCCATCACTCAGTGATGGTCTGTGGGAGGAATATTAAGTTGCTACACATTAAATCATCCTTAGCTAAGCACTCCATTTAGCTTTTATCTTCAGAACCAATTTCTTTCCACTATATTTGTAGGGAGAATTCTATGGAAGGAAATACTAAGCAGTCAAGGCATGAACTAACTTGACGTTACACAATTGCTTTAATAATTCCATATGTATGAAGTCATAATTTGCAGAAAAAAGACAACACTTAAGTAATCACAATTTACTAGTTTTAGAAAACTAACTTTTACTCATTTCATAACTCTGGAAATATTTTCCAAAGATGTTGAATAAACGTTTTTTTATCATGAATAATATGAAGGCCACTAAAAGACATTATTTGTCTTTCAGTTGGTCATATAATTCATTAGTGAGTGAAAAACAGAAACCTCTCAAGTATCTTTGAAGGTAACAATGACATAAATTAAGCATGCAGATGTAAGTTTAAATTAGCACTGTAAATGTAATCATTATATTGAAGCAAAAGCCAAAATACAAATCTCGAAGGTAAGACAAAACATGTTTTTGTTTTGTTTTTATTGGAGTGAAACATTTTACAATAGGAAGATGAATGAGTAAACTTAAATAGAAATAAGCAAGTTGGGGAAGAGTAGGACTACTGAAACTTCACTAACATTTTTGCAGTACTTAGAAAAGATTTGAAATCTACAGACTTTGTTCTTGATTTTGTTAGGTAGAAACTAGTCAAAATATGTACTCAAAAAAATACATTTTGAAATAAAATTAGAGGCACCTAGCTACTAATAGATTTTTTTAAAGTAAATTTGTGGAGAAAACAAGATAAATGATAAACCCAATGAATATGCAATTATTGTCTTCAGAAGTCGGGAGGTAAACGAAGTATCTATTTGAGGACAGCCTATTAAATATTTTCTGGGAAAATATTAACATTTGTCACCAAAATATACTGAATAGTTTCAATGTGCTCTGAAAATTGCTATTTGCTTTGCAATTTTAAGTATAGTTTTTAAACATAAAATTTTCAAACATCTTCCGCTTGGTTGGGCCTAAGCATTCGGCCAACTACCTGGTGTGGGAGGGGGATACATGTCTAGAAAAGAGTATTACAGCAACACTCCTAGAGGATAGGAGTATCTAGACAGAATGTTTGGTACTGTGGAAGTGGCCCTGGTGACTAAGAGAGTATGTACAGAAAGATTAAGTTTATAAGTAAATATATTGAATATAATAAAAGCCAGGTTACAGAATGCAGTTAAGACATGGAAAATGAACAAGGCTAGAATGAATGCTGTGGTGCTTGACTATAATCCAAGTCTAGATGTACTCTCATGATTAATATTTATGTAAAAGATAAATATGTACATAGATACAGAACTGTATAAGGGTGTGTGTGTGTGTGTGTGTGTGCATATACATGCATTTATTTTTTAGCTCTTTCTGCTGAGGGGCACTAAAAATAATAACACCCCAGTAACAAAGGGTCAGGGATCCTTGATTTCAGGACTGGGCAGAGAAAACACAAGATAAGCATGAACATTTTGTGCCAGAATGTACGGAAGTGCTACAAGAGTGACAGGGCCTATCAAAGGAACATAAGACATAGCTTGATGGATTTCCCCCTAGCCAAGCCTGGGAAATATTGAATTTCAAAATAAATAATGATACTAACAAATTGTGACATTAACGATTCTACTTAACATTGAGTTAAACAGAAATCTAAGAGTCCACATTGATATAAATCAATGGATAAGGGAAATTGGTAAGCTCTACCTTATGGTAGAATATCAACAAATAAATATAAGTGGAATAGTAGAATTTAAAACAACCATGTGGCTTCCATGACCATAACATTAGATTCTGGTGAGGAATTAGCAACAAGTGCTGAAATCAACGAGTAAGTTTGAAATGGAGTGAGGTATTTATACAGTGTCAATATATATTTTATATTTTATTTAATTTGAAGTAATCAATTATTTGAATGTAATTATTAGTTAGCTTTCTAGTTCAGAGAAACCTAGATATCATGGTTACAAAGTGAAAAAGCTTATCACTAATAACAGAACAAACCAACATCATATTCTTGCTACATCAGGAGAACATGATGTTCGTATGAGAAAACATCAAGCAAACCCAAATGAGGAATGCTCTACAGGGGAAATAGCCTGTAGTTATCAAACTATTAAAGTAATGAAAGGCAGAAAACAAAAAACATGAGAAATTATTTGAAGAAGTCTAAGAAGGCATAATCATAGATGGGATGGTGAATCAATACAGAAAACTATTAAGACAATTCGTGATATTTAAATGCAGCCCAAGGGTTAGAGAGTAATATTAATTTCTTAATTTTTATTTTGCACTATGGTTACATAGAATAGTGTTATTTAGAAAGTAAATACAAGCATTAAGGAGTTAGGCGGCAACATATTTGCAACTTGCTTTCAAATGATTCAGAAAAAAGTGTGTGTGTGTGCGTGGGTGTGTGTGTGTGTGTGTGTGTGTGTGTGTGTGTAAGAGAAAAGAGAGAGGGAGAATTTGCAAATGTACAAAAACTACAAGGAATAATACAAGCCAATGCCCATCACCCAAATTTAACGAATGGCAATATTTTGATACATCAATCCATTCTATCAATCCATTCTATCCTGCTGAATTATTTTACAGAAATTTCCAGGCATTTTATAATTTCACATTTAGGTAGATACATAGGTAGATTCTTGTAATCAGAAAATAGAAAGTTACGTCACCCCAGAAACCTCACTCATACTACCTCTTTGAAAACGTAAGCTCCTCCAATTTCTCTGTCAGGACCACATTGTCTCATTACTTTAGAAATAGTGATTCCACCCACTTTATTGTTCTTTTTCAAAGTTGTTTCATATATCCCAGGGCTTTCCTTTTCCATTTACATTTAGGATGACCTTGTCCATAAAAACCCTTTCTGAGATGTTGGTAAGAATTGCATAAAACCTGTAGATCAGTTTAGAGATACCTGACACCCTCACTATGCTGTGTCTTCTAATTCATAAACACAAAATGTCTCTGTTTATTTAGGCCATCTTTCATCAACATTTTGTATTTTTTAGCATACAATACTTGACATTCTTTCTTAAATATATGCCCAAATGTACAATTGTTGTTAGAGCAATTATAAGTGGTATTGAGATTTAAAATTTTATTTCAACTTCTCTGTTAGTAAATAGAAATGCAATTAAATTTTGTGTGATGACTGTGCATCCCATGACCTTACTGAACTCTCTTGTTACTTCTAAGTTTTGTGTAGTTAATTATTTGGAATAGTCTATGTATATAATCAGCGTATTCTCTGCAACTAGAAAGAGCATTATTTCTTTTTTTCCCAAACTATGTGACTTATTTTTTCATGGCTTATTACGGTGGCTAGAATTTTCAGTATTATGTTGAATAAAGGCAGAGAGCAAATATAATTGCCTTGTTTCTGATCTTTGAGGGAAAGCATTGCCTTTTGTTATGTGTTAGCTCTGGGTTTTTGTCGATTTTTTAAAATAATGTTTCAGACATTTCCCTCTACTTCTAGTGTACGGATGAATGGATTTCATGAAATGCTTTCTGTGCAATTTATATAATATATTCTTTTCTTCTTTAGCTTGTTAATATGGTGAATTACAGTGATCGATTTCCTAAGGATGAAACAGACTTGCACAACTGGAAAAAAAAATCCCACTTAAATTGTGCTGCATTTTTACTGCATTGTTGGATTTAGTTTACTCATTTTGTTAATTCTTTGAATATTTGGTTGAATTCTTCAATGAATTCTAGTGGGCCTGTGAGTTTATTTTTCCAAAAGTTTTAAAAGTATGAATTTTAGTTTCCTTAATACTTGTTTATTGGTTTTACACTTGTTAATTATTTGTTTTACATTTGGTAAGTTGTGATAGTTGGTGCTTCTAGAGGAATTCATTCATTGGTTGTAAAATAGTTGTGTGTGGAGCTGTGCATAGTATTCCCTTAATCATTTTGATATCTGCAGGGTTTCTAGTGATAGCCTATTTTATGGCTGCTACTGGTAATTGACATTTTTTTTCTTTTAACACTAGTCTTACTAGAGATTTGGTGCTCTTATTAACAATCTTAAAAACTTTTTGTGTCAATTTTTTTCTTTCCAGAGTTTTCTTTATTTATGGTTTTCTCTTTATTATATTATTCCTTCTGTCAGTTTGTGTTTATTTTGCTGTTTCTTTCATATTTTTCTGAAGTGGGAGCTCACTTTCTTGATTTTAGACTTTTCTTCTTTCCCACTGTATGCATGTATTGCTATAAAATGCCCCCCAGCACTGACTTAGCTGCATCCTACAGATTTTAGGTAAATGTAGGATATATGTTTGAGAGAGGTTTTGGCCTTCCTTTGGGAGAGTCTGGCAATTGCAAGCTTTAGTTACTAAATTAGTTTCTCTAAAACAAATGGCCAAGGTAGCACTTGTCTTTGCCTTCACCAGCTGCCAACCAACTGAGCAAATTACTCCTGGGAGCTGGGGTTCTACACTTGGAGGAGCATGAGACTGTTAGCAGTTTAAATAAGTACATACTAAATAAACTCCTCTATGAAAAGCAAAGGTATTTTTTTTCTTTGCTCAGGAATAAAATAAAACAATCTCAACACATATTTAATCTGATTATATTTCACATATAAAATTAGGTCACATGACACTTAGGTTATTCAGTTACTTTTTATTACAGGATTGTATGTCTGGATGACATGAAGATTAAGGGGAAGATATGACCAGATTTTTCATTTTTTTCAGTGGATTTCAGCACATATTCTTGAACATCTTTCAAGAATTGGAGAGCTGAAGCCATTCTTATCAAAACATATCTGTAGAGTCCTTTATATAAAACATAAATAAGTATTGAGGATTATTAATTCTCAGATTTAATAAGCTACTTGTCCCTACATTTTCTTCCCAATCTAATGAGAATATTTTGGAGTTCATGCTAAACAGCCTGCTGACAGCAAAGACAGTTATTTTTGTTTTGATCTTTGTATTATGACAGAGAGCTAATATGGAATGAGCAACAATTTATTGCTAAAAACCTCCCTCAGAGACAGTCAATAAAAGAGATATGATATCACTCTAATGAAATAAGCCTCACAAATGATTATTTCTGGCCACTAGGTGAGGTTCAGATGAAACAGATGGAAACAATAAATGTTGTCATGCAAGATGCTCCCTACCAGATGTTGAGCAATAATGAATATTTACCTCAGAAGATAAAAGATTTACT